TGCAAAAATACCCGCCACAAATCACACAATTTTTTGTAGTGTATGAACTAGAATCGTGCATGATTTTACAGTTTTCAAAGATTAAAAATAAATACTTTTTATAAAAGCTAAAATAAAAATATAATAGTTTAGAAATTGAAAATACATTTAAACTTGATAAACACAAACATCATACAGCTGCTATGCGGTATTGCTAGGCCGATGATAAACACACATTTATTTTTATATAAACACACTTTTTTTTTTAATATATTAAATTCCTAAATTACTCTTAATATTTTTTGAAATTTATAATTTTTAGATTTACATCTCTCTTATTCTTTTTTTTCCCTGCACCTCCCTTTTTCTTTTTTTTCCACCCCTTTCTTCTTCTCTTCTTCGTCACTATATTCCTCACCTTAGACATTTTCCTAACATGTATTTTATGTGTGCATACAAATAAAAATAAAATTATAAAATAAATAAACTATAATAAGATATAAAAATATAATAATTGTACTAAAAATAAAAATATAGTATTTTAGAAAATAATATATAAGCAGGTTTGTGGATATGATCGAATAAGAAGGTTTTGTTCCGGAAAGTACTTTTTGGAATAGTAAAGTTTTTATGTACTTTCCGGAATAATAAAGTTTTTGTTCTAGAAAATACTTTCTATAATAGTAAATTCTTATTCTGGAAAGTATTTTTCAAAAATGTTTTGTTACATAATTATGGAAAGTACTTTCCAGAATACTAAAGTTATTATTTCAGACTGTTCTTTCCGAAATTATATAAGAAACACACTTTCGAAAAATGTTTTCCGGAACAATAATTTTACTATTCCGGAAAGTACTTTTCGGAATGCTAAAATTAACATTTTGAATCTTAGTTTTCGGAAGTATGACAAATTTAACTTACATGTTTCTTTATCTCCGTCAACCACCACCGTCGTCTACAATCGAAGTAGGTTAATCATATATTCCTGTTGTCCATAAGTAATGTTAAATAAGTTAAAAAAATTATAAATATAAAATGTAATTTAATATATTAACTTGTACCTTGTATTGAATGTAGAGAATAATGAAGATTGAATGAAAAATTAGGATTTAAAAAAGAATAGAGTAGAAAATAAAAAATAGAATTTAAAAGATAAAAATAAAATATGATTATGTTGATTGTAAAAGAAGAAAAATCAAGAATGAAAAACGAAAACGAATGAAATCATCAAAGAATGACTAGAGTAATAAAAAATGAGAATGAGAAAAAGAAGAAGAAAGAAGAAAAATAATGAAAGAAGGGAGTGAATAAAAAACAATTTTAAAAATAAAACTTAAAATAAGAATTTAATTAGAAAGATATTTTAGAAATTTTATTTAAAAAAAAGAAGAAGATTGAAAGGTGTATTTATAAAAGATGGGAGGTGTATATATCATCCGCCGTATTGTTAAAGTTTAGGCCCGTTTACTTTTTTCATTTCTTACTGGGCCTAACTGGACGCGTCTTTGGGCTCCCTCGGCCAGTGACAAGAAAACATTCTTACAAAACCCCTACTAGAACAGATCTTATATTTATTTTTTGTTTAGTTCTTCATATGATTCTAATTCACTGACTACTTCTAGATAAAGAGTGAAGTCAGATTATTTAATAGGATTGACGCGAAATTTTGACTCAAAAATAAAATTATTGGAAGAATGTTTATTTTGCTGTCATTCCTCTGGTTAAAATCCTGGTCCCAGTATTAAGGAGTCGTATATAAACTATTCATTGGGACATTAAAGCTGTTTGTTATGAATTCGTACTTTCATCTGTTCGTATGTTTGAGTACGATTCTTAAGTTCCCCTAAGACCCACATTCATGCAAGTAATTACAAAATGTCAATATGATGTCGCGACTGTGGCATACCATTGACTCATTGAGATAAGTTTTCTTCTGTTTTTACTAAGAGCGACTAAGTTTATACAAGAAAAAATAATACACTTTCTTATTATCTTAGAAAAATATGTTAGAAATTATTTTATGGCAAAGAGATTCAAAGTGGTTACTGAATCATGCCGAAGTCTGTCATCTATCTCATTGTCTAACAAGTTAAAAATTTGAATACAAGATCCAATCGTGAAATTGATACAGATATAAGTTAAAAGTAGCAAAACAATCTTTATATACACACACTAACTCCCTTGTGTTCCTCCTTCAATCCAACTCGGTGCAAGATGGTCCTCTCGCTCCAAAACAATGTATAATTTCCCCTCTTGGCACTAAATCCATGGCACTTCCTCCCCTTCAATTTCCAACGACCCTGTCTTGTATGTCCCAATTAAGCATTGACACAGCTCAATACAACTTGTTAAACCAAGAAGGTGGTGAAGACTCTCCTAATCTTGGCAGAAAAGCTTCCCTTTCCAGAGACTGATGAAGCCCGGCCATTATCCTTGTCATAGAAGCCCACACAAAGGGTGCAGCACAGAATGCATAGCCAAAAACACACAACGCTCTAACAACCCCATCAGAGTACCAAGGAAAAGCCATGACCATCAAAACACCAAGGATGCCAAGCCACGGCATCAACACTGGCAGCATTGGCAGCAGAAAGGCATTGATTGCAACAGAGCACAATGCAAAGACACCAAGCAAGTAGAGAGGCCATCCTAGCAAAGGGTGAACCGTGTGAGGAATGATGAAGAAGGGTGTTGTGTATGCCGCAAGAATGCTCCACAGTGCCAACACTTTGAGGATGTTCTGCACCAAGTTTATGCTCTTGTCGGAACGCCTATAGCACAGCTTTGAGAGGCTTGGTCTTGCAAAACGTGTCATTGCTATTATTCCCAAATATATTGCTGATTGAATAACTATCACAGCCATCTCAGCTCCGTACCTGCATTAATAAATAATAGGCCTATTGTTACAATGCCTCGCATAGAAATAAGGTCAAATTATGTGACAGAAATCAAAGTTATCTATGTGTGAAATCCAGTGTTTTCAACTTTGAAATGTTGATGATCACAAGAAGGCCAACATCATTATTTGTTTACTATATAAAAAGAATACAGCCATTATGGAGCTTACCCTAAAGTTTGGCGACGTTTATCATGCCACTGGAGGCCTAATGGCAGGACAGGCCAGGACCACCAATACCATGGCTTCAACCATGGTGCCCCTGGGAATGTGATCACACTATTTGGTCCACAGGGTATGCTCCAACGAAGTTTAAGATCTGAAAATGTCATCATCAATAAGGCAATTAACCAGATTGCATTAAAATAAGAAACATTTCCTTTTTTTTTTTTTTTTAATATTACTGATAGCAACATACTCTTTCAAGCACATTTTATAGAATTTTTTACTGGAATAATATTTTTTTTTAAAAAAATTACAAGAATGATCAATGTGCAGGATTATTTACCAAGATAGAACCATTTACTGTTCAAGCTCAGAATTCGTTTCCCGGGGAACCGAATTCTGAGCATCAAAATGTGAAACGGCCCGTTCTGCTTAAAGAATTTGCACTCTGTTTCTTTAAGCAGAACGGCCCGTTCTGCTTTTGGAACGGGCCGTTCCGCTTCCCAGATCAGCCCACATTTGCCCCCATACACGAAAAAAAAAAAAAAATTTAAAACCAACCGAATTCTGAGTTGAAAAAACAAAAAAAATTACATTTTGATGCTCAGAATTCGGTTCCCGGGGAACCGAATTCTGAGCTTGAACAGTAAATGGTTCTATCTTGGTAAATAATCCTGCACAGTGATCATTCTTGTAATTTTTTTAAAAAAAATATTATTTCAGAAAAAAATTCCATTTTATACTATTACTAAGTGGAGTTCATTAAATAAAAAATGAATCCCACAAAATTGTGTGATTTTCAATAAGTTTAAGCTAATACAGTAATAGAAAATATATTTAAAAAATGTGTGATTAGCAATTTTTTTTAAGTATACTTACAATAGTAAGAAGCATCCATCTGATAACCTAAAGGAAGCCTGTATGTTCCATCCAGCCTGGTGCCATTAGGTGGTGGATAAAACATTGGTTTATCAAGCAACTCAGGGAAATAGCTATCTATGAAACCCTGGTCAGCACCATCGGGATTTTCTCTCCCATTCTGCAATTCATTAACCATGTCCTTGAACACGGCCATTGATGGCTGCAAATATCAAATAATTAGAACCCGTACAATAGAGATAAACTACGATATATGATCACTTTTTTCACATAAAAAACGTGTCATGCTTGTCAGGGAGTAATAGCATTTAATTATACTCTACTTTTAGATATCTATCACAGATATTTCCCTGTCTGACATGTGATCTAGTAAATGTTTTCAACTACTCAAAAATATAAGTATTAAGGATCTATTTGGTTTTAAAATGGTTTTTATTCTTTTATCTTCATAAATAATTATAAAATACTACACTGTGCTCATTTTATTTTTCATTTTCAAAGAATACTGGAATCAACTTAATATTGTTTTTACTATTTATCTTTGAAATAGAAAATGAAAACAAAATAACAATTTTATAATTATTTATGAAAATATTTTTTTCAAATAAAACAAGACTTTGAATAATTTGATAACATAAGAAAACACAAGCAAGAAAATTTTATTGCAAAAAACAGAAAGGAAAAGAAAATACTTACATCAAAAGCACGAAAATTATTGAATACTTACTTTCCTAAGTAAGACATCTAACAAAGTGTATTAATACTTCTTTAATACCATGGTCACCCAATAAATCTTCTTATTTTCTTGATGAGCGTCCTGAGAGCACTCATTAACAAAATATTTTCCTTTTTATTTATTAATACAGCGATGTGATGTTGTTATTAATATCACGTTATTCATCTCATACTATTAGTCTTTTGAGGTAATACGCACTTGTTTAAAAATAATTACACAAATTATTATGATAACATGAATTTTTTTTTTATAACAAAACGTCCTTATTAAAAGAGTTGGAATATAATATTGGATCATTAAATATTTAAGACGTCAACAAATAAAAATAGTGTGAAACCAATTGACATTACACCAGATAATTTATTTAAGATAAATTCAAACACAAAGTGATGCTGATCCATCCTATCATTTGCTGCGGTGATGCACAGAAAGAAATAAAAATTTAGCTTTTCTTTTTCACACATCCAAAAGTCAATCATATATTATTTTTCCTTACCCGTGAAGGAATGACCTATATTGATTTAACTAAGCTGCTTTACAACATTGAGATGATGACAATGAAGCATTAAAATAAACCGATTTAAAGGTGGGAGTGGCAATGAATAATTGGGTGAGGTTTGGAGTTATGTTGCAGTTTCGCAGATAGTGAAATTGGAGTTAAGGAGGGAAATTATGGTACCTGCAAGACGAAGAGTCCTGTGTGGAACACACAAGGATTGATAAAGACCGCACAGAATTGTCCACATTGAAACAACTCGTCCGTGTTCTGAAGGAAAAGGTTGTCAGCATCCAACATCACAACCCTGTCATAATCCACCAAGCTCCACGCGTACAATTTGTTCAACGATAACTTGAATCTCTTGTCGAAATTATCTTGGTGCTTGTAAGGGTTGTCCAGATTTTCCACTTTTACTACTTTCGCACCATCTTCCTTCTCTCTGGACAAAACATCACAAAAACACAACATGGGGTCAATTATCAATTAATCATACGTAAGTCCTACACGCTAATCAATTTAATTAATACTTTAAGTTGTACACGCTCAGGGGTACTCCAACATGCTTCCTCATTTGACATTGACACCTCCCATATTAAAAGTTTTTGTCTTTTGGAAAAGATGACCCAACAACAAAGTCGATTCAGTGACTAATTCCTCTCATAATAGGATAACTTCAACGTGTTGAGACTTCCTCTTGCCAAACCATCAAAAATCAATATATCATTAGTCTCTCCTTACAACTGTGCGGAGATGTGCCCATGAAAATAATCTTACTAATATTTTCTCTGTCGTTTTTTTCTAACTTTTTTTTACAATAAATTATTACTATCAAGTATGAAAAAATCCCATCACTACACTACACAGCCGTCTAAAAAACCTGCCCATCAATTTCATTGTGCCTGTCATTATAACTCATAGTGTGTCTTATTCAATATTGGTTATACTGTCTGGTATACACGTTATTATCTGACAACTTAATTAACTAGTTATTGTATAAAGAAATTAATGATGATACATTACACTCGATTAATTAAAATTCACGGTTTGTATAACTTTAAAATAATTATTGTAAAAATCAATAAATATCATTTATAACTATTGTGATTAAATAACGGTCTAAAACTATTTTATATTGTATATAACCTTTAAATCCTTATATAAATACTGCTTATTAAATTTTTATACTTTTATTTATTTTAAGTTGACCAACCAATCCAATTCAAATTATTAATACCGAATTATATTGAATTTTGAAAATTGATGAGTCTAAAAGAGTTATGATATTCATGCATTCAAATAGAGTGTATAGGTAAAAAGAAAAGAGAGATAGAATGAATGAAAAAAAAAATATTAAGTTGTTTTTACTCTAAAATGATCACAGCCGGCCCAACCAATTATACTAGAATACAAGAAAATTAATAATGAATTGTTTTTAATCTTTAATCTGATTTATTTATTATGTTACTAAATATCTATTTTCTATTAATATTGTTGATTTTAAACTTTCAAGAATTAACTTTTTTTTTCAACGATAATACAGTAACGCATGATTACTTTAGCGATAATATTAGGGAGCCACGAAACTTCTACAATGAATTCCAATACAATTTCAAACAAGAAGGCACCACTACCACACAATTAGAGAACCAAATAGTAGGAGTATATAGTATCATATATGAAGGGGAAAACAGATATAAATTTATTAAATAATGACTTAAAAACTATCTTGTCTTAAATTTTAACCTGTTTTCATAAGTTATGTTGGAAATCTTATAAAAATAAGTCGCTATAAAATGTTTTTTAATTTTTTTTCTGAATACTTTCAAAAAAAATTATGTTACATAATGAGTTCAAATAAATTATTAATAAACTATCCCAAACATGCTTCATAAATTAAGAAAGAAATGCAACTTCATGAAAACAAATTAAAAAAAAAATACTACGTATAGTGATAATTTCTTTTTTTTTTAAGAATGAGAAATCGATTGATTGTCAAGAAAAAAAGAAGAGAGAAATCAATTTTATAATACAAGAGTTTTCGTACAATTTTTTTTCCAAAGATTAAATGTTCCCCGATGAATAGAGTGCATTAAAAGGTATTTATTATTTTTAAAATATAAATATTTAATAATTATTTTAAATAGTTAAAATATTATATTAAATATATCAAATACTTTTAATAATATTAAAATTCTTGATATTATTTTTAGAAAAAAAAAAAGGTATTATCAAGAAGCAGTCAATTTTTTTTCTCAAATGATCAAAATATTTTTAAAGGTTATTCATCGATGCAAAGATTTTAAAAATCCTGTTAACTTGTTATTTAATTTAATTTTATATTTACTTATGATTTAAATTTTAATATTTTTAAAATAAATTATTAATAGATGAAAATAATTTTGTATCACGATAAAAATTATTTATCTTAAATCTAAAATATAATTTATATGTTTAAATATATTTATTTATATAAATTTTAAATATAATTTATATATTTAAATATATTATTGTTTATATATAATTTATTATAAATTTTAGTTATATATAATAAATATTTAAT